AATAATCATATTAGTGTCCAAATGCTAGCCCATGAGAAATCAATCACTTTTAGGGGCAGAGAGCAGGTAGAGCATGTGACTTTGCAACCACATTTATTAGAATATAAAACCACACTTCTTCCCATAAAATACTTGAGGCAGGCACAAAAAGAAGTCATAAAAAAGGCCTTTGCTAATGAGCCTTGGAAAGAGTTTTGGAATGTCTTGCTTAGAAACAGAATGCATCTACATCAACATAAAACATGTTGGCTGACGTCACCTGGGGACAGGGATCAACCGATTTTTCTATATAAGGCTAGAAAGTCAACATAGGCTTTGCTGTCAGTTACCAGTTCTCCTGCTGTGGCATGAAAGCAGCCACACACAGGGAGGAAGACTGTGCAGGGCCGCGTTCCAGCAAAGCCTCACTTACAGAAGCAGGAGAGGGGACTTTGGTCCAGAAGCCACGGTGGGCTGAACTCTGCCGAGACGCTCTCCGCATCGGGCATAGACCATCTATAGCCCCCTCTCATCGGGCCTTTTGTTAATACACACTTGGCCATATTTGCAGGGGAACAGAAGTTGGGAGGGCAGGTCGCATGCTAGACCAGAGAATCACAGCTCAAGCAGCCCTCAAGCTGAAAAGAGGAGTTAAAAGTTGGGCCATACCACTCATTGGGGACAAGCTTTGCTTCTGCCAAGAGTCAGTGCTGAAAGCAACCGCTCACGTGAAAAGGGCTAACGCCACTTTTGGTGAATTTAATAGCAAGCTCTCATAGGGGATTCAGCCAGCAAAATCTGAGTTATCTGAAAGTTGAGCACAAGCTACAGGACGCACAAATCACCCCAACCATGTGCGGGCCCCTTACACTGCCCCAACCCAAGCAAGGTCATCGTCATCCAGCCAGGTTCCCCAAGCCCACAAGCTATCTCAATAGCATCGTGGCTAGAGAGGGAATGCGGTCAGAATGTTGTAATGTTGTAGGCAAAGTAGGTTTAAGGGGAGGCAGGGAGGGTGTTCAGTGGAATAAGGAAGAGAGTATTTAGAGGGAACTATCTTTAAATATCTACATGTATTAGGTTTTGTGGCTACATGGCCTTAAATATCTAATTTTTTCCTACAAGAGAAGGAAAAATTCACTTTGATTTATTTGCTTAAATAGGACAAACATGGCCCTCCCTGGTGGCGCAACGGGTTAGTATGCAGCACTGCAAGCTGGCCGCAGCCGCTTCAGTGCAAGTTCGATCCCCACCAGGGAGGTAACCACAGGGCACAGCAGACCTGTCCTGACCCGCCCGCTGCTCCCCTCAGCAGTGTACTTCGTCAATTGCCTGTTCTGCTCCCCACTCTGTCTCTGGTGAATCCTTGCACCTCCTACCGCAGTTCTGTATGCGTCAATAAATAAATCTTTGGGAAAAAATAAAAAAGAAAATACACGAGACTGCAGATCATCCAGTGCATCTTTACACAGTGTGGGTGGTTAGGGGAGCCGATCCCCAGGGGTCGTAAAAAAGGGAACAGTCAACCCTCTGGGGTAGCGGGCCCCAGATCCTCAAACTCAATGCAGAACAGGTCATTGAGTGAATCCATAAATTTGAAATCTGCAATCAAAATCTGCACATGAAAGGACCTTCATAATTCAAAGCCAAGTTTTCCAAGAGTTGACTATATTTGTCATGAAATTCAAGGCAATGTCCAGCTGACTTCCAAGGACCTACACTGATGCAGGGAAATAACATAAGTGGGTCCCGCCTGAGTGGTCACAGGACACTAAGCAAATTTCCAGAACAAGGAAAGAAGCAGTTGTGGTAGATACCATTATCTCCAATCTGTCATTAAAACTTTTTAATTAAGAAATCCGAAACATAAATTTCATTATTTTTCTTCAAGAAAAGCCTAATGTTCCTATTTCTATACTGCCTCTTAGTTTTCTTAACAAAATAATGAAGGTGATA